GGGGACAAACAGATATGCCAATGCGGAGGAACTGGACAGTGATGGCTTTTAGATGACCATTGGGTGAAGGGCAAGGGAGGGGGGAAGCAGGGAGATGAGGGGATCCAGGAAGGAGTTCCTGAATCCTCAGCAATGATGGGGGTCGAGATGGAGAGAGGCGGACCAATACTAGCTGTTTTTAGGAAGAAAAATGGGCCAGACATGGTGAATCTGGGGCTGCAGGAGAAGAAAGGGGAGACAGAGAGAAGGTGACTCCTCTGTGCCTGGCCTGAAAGAAAGAGAAGGGGGATGCAGGGAAGTCAGCAAGATGGGGAATGCGTCTTGCAGGGGGAGATGAGAGCATCTTTGGCCGTACTGAGTGGAGCAATCCAAGGGGCCATCCTGGGGGAGGTGTCCAGGCAGGATGCTGGATATTGAGATGCCCAGATCACTTACCTGAGAGACTGACCTTGTGATGGCCTTTGCATTCCCCATGCCCAGAACCCCCACGTCCACTGCTGGCCTTGTCACTTTCTTCCTGCAGGACCTCACTCTGAGTGAAGAGAGCAGAGAGCCCTTCAATCTGGCCAGTTCAGGATGCTGTGGCCCCCGACTCCTCTATTCTCTTAAGGGGCTGGAGGGGTGACTGAGGTAGGAAAGGGGAGGTCCCATCCCAGAGACCCCAGTGTTGAGAACACAGACTTTGCCTTCCTGGACGGTGGGGCCAGACGTCCGTGACCAACGCACGCAGGTGTCAGGGGCCTCCTTCCTGGTCTTGCTTCAGGGCCCACGACCCACCCAGATCCCTCCGTTCCGGGGCCCGTCTGCCATCCCCACCCCAGAGCTCCACCTCCCTCCCAGGGGTCAAAGCTCACATGAGGGTGATGAAGCCGAAGGCCAGGAAGAGTAGAGCTGTGGCGGCCGCGCCCCACACTGCTCCCAGCATCATGCCTGGGACAGGCCCCTCGCTTCCTGCAGGTGGATTGGATTCCTGTTGGTTCCCCTCCAAGGACTGGGTACCTTCTCCTCCCACTCTGTGTAGGCCCCCAGACTTCAGGTTCCGTGCCCCAGCCCTCCCTGGCACCACCACGTCCCCCGCTGGCCTCAAAGGACTGGGGCCTGGGGTTCGGGGACATTAGAGCCAGGAAAGGGAGACCCGCGGGAGCTGGTCTGCAGCCTGACCTTATTGAAAATAGGGATATTTTGTTCACCATGGCATTTATATTGCATTCATCTTTAGTTTTTAAAAAATGCGACATTGTGACATTATTTCTCTTGATTGCTGAGGTTTCTTTGGCTTTTCTTAAATTTTGTGCCCACGGTGAGTGCTTCACTTGCCTTGCCCTCATCCCAGCCCTGCGAAGCGACGGGGGGCCCTACCCACCCGTGCAGACACCCAGGCCTTCCCTGCTGAGACCTCCCTCCTCCCACTGCCCCGCCCAGCCCTCGCTACAGCCCTGAGCCGGCCGAAGGGGGGCGCTGACACTCTGGGTCCCAGGGAAATCGGGGCTCAGAGGGCTGCTGGCTGGACTGCGGGGTGTGCTCTTCTCCCCAACCTCCAGCCCCTCTCCGATCCACGGGGCACTCACTGGGCAGGGAGAGGCTCAAGGACATATGCAGGGAGCCCATGGCATTCTGAGCTCTGCAAGTGAACTCCCCTTCGTCTTTGCTCTGCACCCGAGGCAGCTCCAGCACCCCGGGGTTCCAGGGCTGTGAGGGGCTCAAGGTCAGGCTCCCTCGGGCCCAGGTCACACTGGCAGGGGGGTTGCTGTCGATGACGACACAGACCAGGTGCAAGGGCTGGTCCTCTGGGACTGATAGGGACGAACCATTCACCAGGGCTGTGGCTACTGGAGAAAAAGAGGCAGAGGATCAGAGAGAGAAACAGATCTAGAAAAAGCGGAAGGATACAGAAACAGCTGGGAAGAGGGGGACAGACGCGCAGATGTAGGTTGAAGGGCAGGAAAAAGGGACACTTTGGTCTCTTGCTGGTGGGAATGTCCACTTGACAACCCTCCACGCAGAACAATTTGGCCGTATCTCTCAGCTTGACACACACACACACACACACACACATCAGAAAGTGGATCTGAGATGATTGATTGCAGAGCGTTCTTGTTGGTAGAGTAAACTGAGCTCCGTGGTCTCAGGTAGTAGAGACTGCGGACAGAATCAGGATCCATCCGGGCGGAGGACACGCCACAGTCGCGGAGAGAACAGGACGGGTGCAGAGTCAGGGTGGTGGGGGGCCCACAGGGACAGCTGCTTACAGAGGCCGTGGGGGCTGAGGGGAACCTCCGGGCTCAGCCACAGGGGCCTGGTCACTGGTGAGGCCAGGATGAGTCAGGGACCCTGCCCCGCCCCTGGACCCCGGGAGGGGGCTGCTTCCTACCTGTACTGTTTCCTGGGAAGGCAGTCACCGTCAAGTTCTGTGGAGGGTCTGGGGCAGAGAGACGCGGATCAAGTCAGTGGAGAGGGCTGGGTGGGCACTGGCCCTCTGTCCCCAGGAGCTGTGTAAGTGGGGAAAGGGTGGAACCCAGCACCCATTATATGAGTCCCTGAACCCACATCTCCACTGCCCTCAGGACCCCCTCAGGGACCCAGGCATCCTGGCCCAGCTCTCACAGGACACATTGAGGTGGACAGTCCTCGCTGTGGTCACTCTGCTCTCAGTCAGGGACACCTGACAGGTGAGATTGGTGCCGTGGTCCTGAGGCCGCGGAGTTAGGGTGATGGTTGAGGAGTGGGGAGTCCGGGAGTCCAGGAGGGTGAGGGCGGCTGACGTCCAGGAGAAGATGGGGGGCGCGCCCCGCTCGCAGGCCCAGGGCGCAGAGCAGGTCAGGTTCTGGGGGTGGCCACCCTGCAGGGTCTCTGGGATGAGGAGCTGGGGCGTGTGGGTCAGGGCTGGTGAGGAGAGGGGTCCCCGTGGGTCAGAAGGAGGTGCCTGTGGCCCTGAGAGGAACTCGGGCGTTGGCCCAGCTCCTGCCTCTGAGCCCCAACATGTTACCCCAACCCCACCCAAGAGGGCGTGTCCCACCCCCGCCTGCCCCGGGACCCCCTGTCAGCTCCCTGGGGCCCCCCCGGAGGCTCCTTACCCGTCACATGCACGGAGAGCAGGGGAGAGAGGTAAGTATATTTCACATCATTCCCTCTCTCTACCCGAAACTGGTATTTTCCTTCGTCTGTCTTCCTGACATCTGTGATGTCCAGGGAGCAGTTGTGGAAACCGGGGTCCCCTAAGAGGTGGAATCGGCCCTGGGTCTCCTCCTGCACTTTACGGCCTGGGTTGTTTGTGGCCACGGGAGCATCATGGAATGTATCAGCCGCTTCCCGGAACCAGTAGCCATAAGTCGGGGTAGAGTCAGTCCAGCCATCCCAGGGGTAGGAGAAATCGCAGGGCACGTGCACGCACAGGCCCTCCTGCACCGTCACGGACTCCTGCACTTGCAGCTTGTAACCCCAGAGGGACCCCCCCCAGCCCTCAGCCCCCTCCCGCCGCCAGAGCAGCGCCACTGTCAGCAGCAGCAGGAACATGTCTGGGTTGGCGGGGCAGCTTCCCCTGGGGAGTCTGTCTCTCAGGAACTAAAAGCTGCAAGATCAGAGGAGGCCCCAACGGGAAGGTGAGGGCGAGGTCAGGACAGTGACCCTCCTCGGGGGAGGAGCTTCAGGGCCTGGCTCCATCAGGGCCGACAGCGCCCCCACCCCAAGCCATCTACTCCTGGGAACCCCAAACCGGGTGAGGGGTGGGGCTCAGCACCTCTCCTGGCTCCCCGTCCTGCCCTTCCCCTCCAGGGTGGTTTCCCACAAAGCGAAAACGTGTCCCTCCGGCCAGACCCCTTGAGCACAGGCTGTAGATGTCTGTGGAAGCTGGTCCTGCCAGGGAAGGGCCGTGGGGCCGTGGGAGATGGGAGGCCGGGGAGCGGGAGGCCGACGATTCTCCCTCCCACAGCATCCACGTGGCGGGCAGCCCCCCTGCACATGAGGTCACACAGCCAGCGGGGAGACAAGTGACCAGCCTGCGATGAGACAGGCGCCGTGATGAGGAACACCCGGCTGGGTGGGGTGTCGCTCCCACCAGGCTGGAGGCTGAGCCTCAGGAGGGCTGGGCAGCGGGATGCTGGGGCTGCGGAGGCCAGGACTCCGAGGACGTCGCGGCAGCCTGGCTGTCCTGTTCCCTGGGACACTGGGCGTCTCTGTAGGTGGGGGCTGGTAAGAAAAACTGCAGAAGGAAAGGGGCAGATTTCGCAAGGGAAACTTCCCCCTCGGGGGGGCTGTTTGGGCTCTGGGCTGCATTTCTTCATCGCTGCCTCCGGCGGGACCCCACGTCTCATTGCTCCCGAGCTCTGTGGGTGCAGTGCAGGCTCTGCGCCAGGGGTCCGGGTGTGCAGGAGACCCAGAGCGAGGAACGCCAGCTGGGGGCGGCCCATCCTCAGGGATGACTGGACAACCGAATTCACAGAAGGCAGTTTTGACCTGGGGGGCTGGGGGCTGGGAGGAAGTTGTGGAAATCCTGGGAGGTGGGGCCCCTTAGACCCAGGTTCAGTTTTCTTGAAACATTTTTCTGCGGGGGAATACAAGACACGTACAGAGAAGTGCCCCCACAAGAACAATTCGGTGATTCATCACAAAGTAAGGCTGTCCTAGAAATGGAATGCTGCGAGCTCCCAGGCATGCCCCTGGGTCCCCCATCCCTGTTGCCACACCCCACTCCCTGTGAAGGAGCCCCTAGCCTCATCGTAACGTAATTGTCTCCTTGCTCTTCGTAGTTTCATTGCCAAGCACTCTGCCTTCAATATTAGAGCTTTGCATGTGTTTTTAAGACTTTGTGTGCGTAGAAAAACGAGTCTGTTTTCTTCCATTCATCTTCATGAACAGCCCATGCCGGTATCCCCTTCCCAGAAGCATTACACGTAACCCAGGTCAGCTGGAACAACATGTCCCAGAATCCCTTCCCTACTGCTTCCGGATTAAAGGTGGCCACAGAGTAGGGAGAGGCTGAAGTGGCCCCCCCGAGGCTCTGGGGGTCAGTGGAGGGGCAGGTCTCCCTATTGCCGCTGGCCCTTCAGCTCACCTTGCTGATGTGACCTCACAGCTGTGCAACTGCTGGGAAGCAAGGGAGGTCCTGGGGAGAGCCACCAGCTGGACCTCAGGGCGCAAGGACCATGGAGCCCCAGTAAATGGATGGGTGACCCAGGTGGACACAGGTGACCCAGACAGAAGTCTACAGTGACATGCAAAGGACCCAGGAAAACAGCATCCCTCGTATTCCTCTCCTGCTGAGACACTGTCCCAGGATGTCCTTAACCAGACGACTAGGGCCGTTCACCTGTACACAGAAGCCCCATCTTCCCTGACCACCAGTACTGCTGTCCACAGGGATGCCCACCACGAAACGCAGGGTTTGTAACCCCCGAGGATGTTGGGCTTCACCCTGCCCATGGGTGGTAAATAAATGCTGTGGTACAGACCACTGGGAGTACTTGATTCGGGGGCAAAGCTGTCATATCTGGAACCCAACAGAAACCATGTTTTGAGTTAAAAACTGTGCAGACTTAGCAAGGCACCTCTTGAGCTGCAGGAAGATAAGACCCTGAAGGCGAGTCCCTGCTTCCGAGGGCTGGGGCTGGGGCAAGAGAGGACGTCCAGAGATGGGAGAGCGGGGTGTGCAGAAAACAGGTGTGCTCACAGGGTGTGTGCCACTGACCGCCGTGTCCCCACATCCGTCCCTCTGGGCTCCACCTTCATGCCTCAGTCCCATCTTGAGAAGGAGGGAGACCCACCTTGGCATCTCTGCCCTGCTCCCCAAGAGCCTCAGCACCTGCAGGGTCAGCACGGTGTCCGATCAGAGAGCCAGCTGCCTGACCGCCAACTCCAGGCAGGGCGGGACACTCAGCCCCCCCCGGAACTTGGGGGCCAATCATCGGACATCCCTGGAGAGGCACAGGCCCGCTCCTCTGCTGTAGTAGATCCAGGTGAGGCCGTAGGTGAGCAGGAAGCCAGCCCCCATGAGGGTCCCTCTGATCAGGGTGAGGACCAGGGGCCAGGAGCCCTGCTGCTCCGCAGTCACACATCTGCAGGAGGGGGGACTTCCTGGAGAAGGGGAGAAGGGTGACTCTCTGTCCCCAGGCCCCAGAAACCTCCAAAAACGGGACCAGGCTGCCCAACCCCAGCACCTGTCCTGCCATTCATTCTGCACAGAGAGGCTGAAGGAACCGTGCAGGTAGCCCAGCGGTGCTGAGCCCGCAGGTGAATTCCCTGCCCTCTGCAGTCGCTGGTGGCTGCCATCAGCCTCGCAGATCAGGTGCCATTGCTGGAATGGAGAGGGAGAGAGAGCACAGCAGGGATGGGGAAGAACGGGAGAGGACCATTACCTCCCACCCAGAACAGAGGACCAGACTGTCTGACCCATGCTCATGAACAAACCAATCCAGGAGCCCAAAATGGCTGAAAGACCCTGGAGGGGAAGAGGCCAAGCTGGATGGGAAAGAGGTGGGGTGTTGGTGGTATCAGCATATGGCAGAAAGGTGTCTGAGGCTGCAGAGTGGATGCCCAAAGGCACTGAGATGGCCTTGCAGATGAACGGGACTGCAGCCACCTCCGGGGCCTGCTGGGGAGGCCCTGGGAGGGTCTGCATGTGATGAGCTAGGAGCTATCCTGGGGTGCAGGGAGTGGGGGCGGGGGTAGGGGGATGGCTCTGAGCAGGGAGGGGGCAGGGTGGGCTCTGGGTCCGGAAGCCTTTCTAGGCCCATGCTGTGTGGGGCAAGATGTGAGGGGAGAGACTGGGGCCTGGGAAGCTGGGGAAGAAGAAAGGTCAATCGTCAAGGCCATGTGGATGGAGGGGAGGAGACAGGACAGAGGAGGCCTGAGGAAGGGCGCAATTCGGGACATGTTCAGGAAGTGATGTTTAGGGGGAAGAGCCAGGATGGCGGCATGAGTAGAGCAGCGGAACGCTCCTCCTAAAACCACATAGAATTATGAAAATATAACAAAGACAACTCTTCCTAAAATAGAGATCAGAGGACACAGGACAACATCCAGACCACATCCACACCTGTGAGAACCCAGCACCTCGCGAAGGGGGAGAGGAAGGCCACAAACCAACAAGAAAGAAAGCTCTTCCAGCTGTCACTCGTACCAGCTCTGCAAACTATCTCTATCACCATGAAAAGGCAAAACTACAGGCAGACAAAGATCACAGAGACAACACCTGAGAAGGAGACAGACCTAACCAGTCCTCCTGAAAAAGAATTCAAAATAAAAATCATGAACATGCTGACAGAGATGCAGAGAAAAATGCAAGAGCAATGGGATGAGGTCCAGAGAAAAATGCAAGAGCAGTGGGATGAAGTCCGGAAGGAGATCACAGATGTCAGGAAAGAGATCACAGAAGTGAAACAATCCCTGGAAGGATTTATAAGCAGAATGGATAAGATGCAAGAGGCCATTGAAGGAATAGAAGCCAGAGAACAGGAACGTATAGAAGCTGACATAGAGAGAGATAAAAGGATCTCCAGGAATGAAACAACACTAAGAGAAATATGTGACCAATACAAAAGGAAAAACATTCGTATTATAGGGATACCAGAAGAGGAAGAAAGAGGAAAAGGGATAGAAAGTGTCTTTGAAGAAATAATTGCTGAAAACTTCCCCAAACTGGGGGAGGAAATAATCGAACAGACCATGGAATTATACAGAACCCCCAACAGAAAGGATCCAAGGAGGACAACACCAAGACACATAATAATTAAAATGGCAAGGATCAAGGACAAGGAAAGAGTTTTAAAGGCAGCTAGAGAGAAAAAGGTCACCTATAAAGGAAAACCAATCAGGCTAACATCAGACTTCTCAACAGAAACCCTACAGGCCAGAAGAGAATGGCATGATATACTTAATGCAATGAAACAGAAGGGCCTTGAACCAAGGATACTGTATCCAGCACGACTATCATTTAAATATGATGGTGGGATCAAACAATTCCCAGACAAGCAAAAGCTGAGGGAATTTGCTTCCCACAAACCACCTCTACAGGGCATCCTACAGGGACTGCTCTAGATGGGAGCACCCCTAAAAAGAGCACAGAACAAAACACACAACATATGAAGAATGGAGGAGGAGGAATAAGAAGGGAGAGAAGAAAAGACTCTCCAGACAGTGTATATAACAGCTCAATAAGCGAGCTAAGTTAGGCAGTAAGATACTAAAGAAGCTAACCTTGAACCTTTGGTAACCACGAATCTAAAGCCTGCAATGGCAATAAGTACATATCTTTCAATAGTCACCCTAAATGTAAATGGACTTAATGCACCAATCAAAAGACATAGAGTAATAGAATGGATAAAAAAGCAAGACCCATCTATATGCTGCTTACAAGAAACTCACCTTAAACCCAAAGATAAGCATAGACTAAAAGTCAAGGGATGGAAAAACATATTTCAGGCAAACAACAGTGAGAAGAAAGCAGGGGTTGCAGTACTAATATCAGACAAAATAGACTTCAAAACAAAGAAAGTAACAAGAGATAAAGAAGGCCACTACATAATGATAAAGGGCTCAGTCCAACAAGAGGATATAACCATTCTAAATATATATGCACCCAATACAGGAGCACCAGCATATGTGAAGCAAATACTAACAGAACTAAAGAGGGAAATAGACTGCAATGCATTCATTGTAGGAGACTTCAACACACCACTCACCCCAAAGGATAGATCCACCAGGCAGAAAATAAGTAAAGACACACAGGCACTGAACAACACACTAGAACAGATGGACCTAATAGACATCTATAGAACTCTACATCCAAAAGCAACAGGATATACATTCTTCTCAAGTGCACATGGAACATTCTCCAGAATAGACCACATACTAGCTCACAAAAAGAGCCTCAGTAAATTCCACAATATTGAAATTCTACCAACCAATTTTTCAGACCACAAAGGTATGAAAGTAGAAATAAATTCTACAAAGAAAACAAAAAGGCTCACAAACACATGGAGGCTTAACAACATGCTTCTAAATAATCAATGGATCAATGAACAAATCAAAATAGAGATCAAGGAATATATAGAAACAAATGACAACAACAACACTAAGCCCCAACTTCTGTGGGATGCAGCGAAAGCAGTCTTAAGAGGAAAGTATATAGCGATCCAGGCACACCTGAAGAAGGAAGAACAATCCCAAATGAATAGTCTAACATCACAACTATCGAAACTGGAAGTGATGTTTATAGGGCCCACTGACTCATGAGCACTGTGGGTGAGAGAAGGAGGAATGGCGCATAGGTCAGGGGGTCCTGACTAGGTAACTGAGGGGCCATGTGCAAGAGGAAGCTCGAGGTAGAGGTCTGGGGCTCAGGACAAAAAGGTTGGGGGTCAGGGCAGAGCTCAAAGCTGGGCCAGAGGAATCGGTGCATCCAGGGGAGGGCAGCCCTGGGTAGAGCTGATGGGAGAGATTGGAGCAACTTGGCCAGGAGGAAGTCTGCCTTGGGTGGGGGGACGACGTAGAGAAGATCAAGAGAGTGGTGACAGCCCGATTTGGCAGTGGGTTGGCAGTGAGGGGCTGACAGCAACCCGGTGGGAGTGGCAGAGAGGTGGCAAGAAGGGAGAAGTCAGAATGCAGGGGGCCTGAAGACCACACGGAGCTTCTTAGGTCAGAATTCAAACTTCCCTTATTTCAATTCTGATCTGATGTTCCTTCCCTGAGCTGGAAGAAACCCCATCTTCATCACAGATCTGAAAAAGAAAAGAAGATTCTCCTCCCTGGGGCAGTTCTCCAGCAAACAATGATGGTCACCGACTATGGAGCACCTGGGATAGAAAGACAGAGTTCCTATCCAGCCATCATTTGTGGTGTGGACCTTGGCTTTATCCCCCAGGAGCAATGGACCTGGGAAGGGGTGGTGAGTGGCGACGGGCTCAGCCCTCCCTGACCTGGTGTCCAGGTCACAAGCACCAAGAACCCCAGACTCCCGGCCCCCCTCCCAACGGACACTGCCTCCCTCGGCCACCCAGGCATTCTTACCCCACACTTACAGGAGACATTGAGCTGGTTCTCTCCACAGTCACACCATGGGGAGTATCACCTGACAGGCGAGGTTGGTGCTGTGGGATGAGGGTGAACCCTGAGGATCGGAGGGTCTCGGAAACTGAAAACTGATAGCATCTCCCATTGAGAAGAACTCCAGCAGGTCCCCCATCTCACAGGTCCGTGGTGTGGTGTAGGCGAGATTTCTAGGGTGACTGGATTCCGGCATCTCTGGTTCATGGATCCCAGGTGTTTGGGTCAAGGCTGGGGAAGGGAAAAGGGCTGGCCTCGGTTTCAGAATTGAACCCCCTGTGCTAGAGCCTCTCAGGGCCCTTGATTGCCTCCCATGACCTTGGAGGAGGAGAAAAGACTTCTTTTCTGGGACTTTACCTGCCTGTCACATTCAGGAGCAGCTTCTTATTTATGTAACTGTATACTCAGAGCAAGGGTGCCGCTGTCACCCTCGCTACATCTCTGATGTTCAGGGAACA